AAATGAATAATGAGAACAACATCTTGTATTAAGACATGAAATATATGTTAAGCAAAAAATGAATAATTTTTTCTCTTCTCGTATATAATAAATATTGAATTTTAAGAGTTGTCTAATTATTTATTCAGAAAATATATTTATTCAATAATAATGAGGTTTTTTACGCCGAAATTGATTGCATAGTCTTAAAAATTGTTTGTTGGAGATATTCAACAAATTTAGACACAATTTTGAAAACCAAACCAATAAATCTTAATTTTTGTGTGTTTTAGACATTGACACTAAATATAAACATCTCTTTTAAGTTAATTATATCAATCAATAGGCGATTCTTTCGTTTATAATACATAGATATCTATATAATCAGTGCTTTTCTTTTGTTATATAAAAGTTTTATATTTAATTAAATAATCACTTAATTAAAAGGGAATGTTCTCTAACTGTATGGCAAACACAACGGCAATAGTTGTGTCTTAGGATGTGATCGATTGAGAGCTGTTCTCAACTTTGGTGTCATTTGAGACGTTGAGCTCTAAGTCTGGGTTTATATCTATTGCTGACAATCTCTTTGTATTGACAATTGCTGTAAAGGAATGGTTGTGTCGAATAGAGAGACAGACAAACACAGAGCCAGCGCTGGAAGTGATGCCAGAATTGTAAAGAGAGTCAATATGGCGGCCGATCATCGCATGAATACGGCTTATGAAATGTATCGTAACTAATATATACTTCAAAGTGGAGAGAGAGAGAGAGAGAGAGAGAGAGAGAGAATAAAGAGATGGAGATATGATTTTGGATGCATTCCAATGAGGATGAAGTGATACAAACGTTTCCAACAATCAGTTCTGTTTCACTAAAACTGCTTCAAAGAATAGTCGATGAGATGATCGCTACGACAACATCACTGCCACTGAATATCCACTTTTCAAATGCAAACTCCATCTCAAACCCCACTTATGTATTATATACTGATATTATGGACTAATATTATATTTGCAACAAATAATCAAATAATATTACTATTCAATAAAAGTTTTTGAAATATTCTTTTCTCCAGAAATGATAATATAATTTGATATCCAATTCAATGCATTTCCAATTCAAATGAAAAGTACATATTTTTAGCCACAAATACAGTGCTCTATAGTAGAAGTCATGCATTGCTTTCTTATAGGAATTGTGTAATTTTCGTTGACTTTTTCATTTAAAGGCATTAAAACATTATTCATTACAAAAATATAGGATTGATGACAGCTTTTCATATCTAATGCAAAACATTGGGTATTCATGTGTTTCCTCACATATTAACACATAAAATAACATCAAATTAGAGCAACAAAAGGCATTCAAAAACAAAAAAGTTTTATATAATTTTCTCCAAATATAATACGAAAACAACAATTATTTAATTTAATTTAAATTATATAATGGAAACAGATTTGTGAAAACAAATACTGTTTTGCGCTCTAATTATCAAATTTAAATCAGCGCACAATTTCTTAATCAATGATATTATAATTTGTTTGAATATACGATTTAAGCCTTTATTTTAAGCCCTTGTTTGGGATTTCGTCTCTACTATTAACTAGAAATGCAATTATGTTTTGTAAATGAAATCAACATTTAATAATAGCTGTATTATAGACAACAAACGGTTAGCAGTAATTGTAATCAACAATAGTTAGTGCTTTAGTTTTACTATTGATAGCAGTATTTGAATCAAATGAATCATTTGTTTTACTAAAACCTTCTTTTTTTTGGTATTTTCGTTGAACTAAAACATAATTAATTCTTCGGTGACAACAAAGACTTGATTCGTCTTCACTGTCACTGCAGAGGAGAGAGAGAGAGAGAGAGAGAGAGAGAGAGAGAAAGAGATCGACGCG